GTAGGCAGGGTGGTCCGACTTCAATGAGGGCATTACGAGTTTGGCACCACCTATTCAGAAATGGTCTGAGGAGACATAGTTATTTCTATTTATGATCTGAGGAGACATTGTTGATTCTTTCATCTACATTGTTTAAACATATGTATGAAGGGGAATGGTACATTGTTGATTCTTCCATCTACACATTTTAAACATGTGTATGAAGGGAAATGGTCTGAGGAGACATTGTTGGTTGTTTATGGTCTGAGGAGACATGATTGGTTGTTTATGGTATAAGGAGACATTTTTAATTGTTTATAAAATGAGGAGACATGATTGGTTATTTATGGTCTGAGGAGACATTGTTAATTGTTTATGGTCTGAGGAGACATTTTTTATTTCTTGATTGACACTTCATCTGAGAGAAAAACATCGCCAGTCAGATTTGCACTCCATTTGTCGCAAGCTCTCAACAGCTTGCAGACGTTCTTACAAAAGGCATCAGCAAGATTATGTTTGAGAATGCATTATCCAAGTTGGGCATTTCAGATATCCACGCACCAACTTAAGGGGGAGTGTAAGCATATATGATAGCCACGATTTATGGAATGACTTACCATATTAGTAGAGATTTGATTATGCTATAGAATATACCATAGAATATGCTGTGATTTGATTTAGTTTCCTTTCTTGTAATATGAGAATGTGCTCTTTATATCTATAAATACTAGAGCCGTGAATGAGTGATTTATCTAATTCAAGCCTTTACACAATTATCTCATTTCTCTTCTTTTTATATTTCTACTGCAACCCACTAAGCTAATTGGTCTAAAGTCTTTAATATAAAAAAGCGCCACCCTTCTTAGGGATGAGGGCAATGAAAGAGGCATTTAGCGACTTCTCAAAGACGCCATGAGAGTGAAACTGCTGGAAGGACCCATCACCTCGTTTCTCACCACCTCCCAGCTTTCCATCATAAACCGCATAGTAAACCCATAAGGCCCCCGAGCTTTGTCACCATTACAACTCGATAAAGCTTTTAGCACTTCCTCTTCGAGAAAAGGGATCTCAAGACCATCTCTATCCAACTCAGAAATAGCATAAAAATGAAGGCCCCCAAGCCTGTGTCTCCATCCTAACAACTCGGTGTATAGCTTCTGGTAAAAGGAGACGATCCCGTTGCGCACCTCTTCCTCCCTCCACAACTCCAGACCATCCACCCAGATTCACCCTATGTGATTGCTTCTTCTGTGGGCATTAGCAAGCCTATGGAAAAATTTCGTATTACGATCTCCCTCTTTGAGCCATAAGGCCCGAGACTTCTGGCGCCACGAGATCTCCTCCATACTAGCGATCTCAGCAAAAACCGCCTGGCAGGAAGCTCTCCTAGAGCGTAGAGACTCCACATCCCATCCCGCCTCTTCAAGACGATCAATCTTAGAAAAATCAGCAAGGATTCTATTCTTTCTCCATCCAAGATTCCCGAACACCTCGTTATTCCACCTCTTTAGCTCGATTTTAAGAGCCCTTAACTTCCTGGCTAACACAAAACTGGGAGAACCAGTAACCGTTGCCTCCTCCCACCAAGACCGGACTTTCCCTTGGAAGTCCTCCGCTCTTAGCCACATATTTTCGAATCAAAACGGGGAACACCGAGATCTCAGAACCCCACAGTCCATAACCAAAGGAACATGATCAGAGGTAACCCTTGTCAAAACTGCCTGAACAGCGTCCCGGAATTTCTTTTCTCACTCCCCAGAGATCAAGAACCTATCCAGCCTTGATAAGGTAACCGGGTCCCTACCATTAGACCAAGTAAAGGCTGCCCCTTCCATTGACAGATCAATGAGAGAATGGCCATCAATAAAATCAGAAAACTGAGTCATGTCCGAAGACCACCTTTCCCCTGTGGACCTCTCTAACAGAGACCTAACAGAATTAAATTCCCCACCCAGGCACCAAGGAAGAGACCACAGTCCCTATACATGACAAAGCTCCTCCCAAAAGAGAGGTCTATCACTGTCAACAACCGGTCCGTAGACCCCAGAGAAAACCCATCTGAAGTTGTCCTACGCCATCTTAAACACGCAGGATGCAAAGAACCTCCCCGTCCAAACGTCCATCCTTGACAACCATCTGCGATCCCACGTAACTAAAATTCAGCCAGAGGAACCTAAAGCATTAAGGCCTCCCATTCCACAAACCTTCCTCCCCAGAGACTCCTGACAACCCCATCAGTAATAGAGGCCATCTTAGTTTCTTGCAAACATACAACTTGGGCTCCCCACTTCCGTAAAGTTACCTTCACCACCCTCCTTTTGTCCGGGTCATTGAGACCACAAACATTCCATGTAATGATTCGTAACTTCATTAAGAACCAAATAAAATTATCACCCCTCCTCCCCTCCTTTCATTCCTACTTCTAGTCCTTCCCCTCTCCCTCACCGCCCCTCTTCCCTTCATAGTTGACATAAGAGATAAGATTCTTGACCTCCTGCTCCACTTTCCAAGACGATAAAGATCTCTTATTCATAGCCTCTTTCGTGCTTTGTTGCTCACTGCAACCTCTCTTACTTCCACAATTGCTTCAAGAATGAACAGTGCCTTATCACTATTGCCCTCTGATGAGACACCCCAGCAATTCATTAGTAGCCCCTATGTTTGCTACTACACATTCCTTGCCCAAATCAGCGACCGTTTCTGAGCAATCGGGTCGCATGACCGCCAGTGGTTCCACCATTTCCAGGTTGGAGTGGTCTGTCTCCAACCATGGGACTAACTCGTTAGAACAGACTTGTTGAATGGAAGCCAAATCTTCATTCTCCTCCCCTGCACTATCCTTTCCACTTACAGACAAATCCGTCTACAAATCCGTGTCTGTAACAGAGTCACCCATACCATGATCCAAGAAACTATGAGGAACATTCGCCTTTGACCATCTGAATGGCAAACAATTGAAGCCTTTCAGAGCAACATAGACTCGGAGCTCTTTAAGCAAAGCCGCAGCAGAGTCGTTGGTCAACTGAAGATGGAGATCACGTCCCACACAAACCGTAACCCCCTTACACGAATCCTTTACAATACAAGCATCTGGGTAGACCCACCATCTTGTATAGCACCCAGTGGGCCTATCTCCTCCACCGGCCTATCATCAACAAAAGCATTCAAATTTAGCATATTCTTATTATTATACTCACGTACCCATCCACGGTGGCCGACAACTGAACTGCAGAAAGCCCGAGAAATGTTTGGAAAAGATACACGCGTAAGCCTCCTATCTCTCCCTTCCCCAATCGTTGTTTGTGCCGTGAATCTAACGCGCCTCTGTCCTTAGGTGAAGACCTGTATCTGTAATTCCGATCTCGCAGTGGGAAGATGATAAATCCTTCTCCTCGCCTCCTCTTTCATACGTTGATCAATATGAATTTTCGGGAATATAGATGGTGAAGCTTCTTCCGTCAGAAAAACCTTAAAGGCCACCCGTTGGTCTACAATAAAAATAAACTCTAGTAATACCCCACCGACGGCTACGAGAATGACTACTCTGTGTCCTTCAAACCAAACATCTGCCTCCACATCTCTGAAACCGCCGCAAAGATCACTTATGGCTTCAAATAACTTGTGGCACCATAAATGTAAAGGGAGCCCATAGATCACCACTCTTCTTCTCCTATTCCTTAACTTCACTGCCGAACAACCGACTGCAAAATACCACACATCAATTGACAGGTAACTATCCCCCCCACTTCTTATACCTAGAAATCAAAACCCTTCGTGCCTCAGATTCCGATGGTAATCTAAACAAGAGAAGACCATCTGACAAAGGTGACACCCTCACCACACATGAGATCTTCCAAGTCCTCGATGCCCACTCCTTAATCATCTCTAAGCATCCCACATCATTATCGAACCGTCCGACAAAGCAAGATTTCAGTACTGCTTCACAAGACAACGTACTGTGATTATCGACCCTAAAAACATGGCCCTCTTTGGTAGGGAAGGAATCAATCTCACCAGTGGTCGTAAGGCATGGCAATTTCGCCGCCTCAAGAAAAGACATCTAGGGTTTCATACTTGAACCAAAAACTAATCTTGGGTTTTAGATTTTGATTGAGTTGTCTCCTTGGCACATAATATATTTTTTTCAAGGCAAGAAGGGTTAGGAAGTTAGAATATATTCTTCTCCTTCTCAGATTATCCATCATCAATATCTTGCCCCAAATTGTCGTCCAAACAAAGAACGCCACTCAAAGAGGAGCCTTCTAGCGTCAAACCATCTTCCAAGGGAAGTTAGACCCAGATAAACCGAAAAGGCAATAGAACAAAGAACCTCCCTCAAACCTCCCCTGAGAAGAAGGCACCCAAAACATGGATTAGAGCCTCTACCGTCTAGTTCTTGCCCATACAAAAGATCCAAGAGTCCATACACATCATCCACCTCCCCAATCTTGGAACTGTCGCCGAAATCAAACATCACGCACAAGAGGACCACCCATCTCTTTTAGAAGCCATTTCAATACCACTTGGTCTCGTCTCATATAGCTTGAAAGTGGGATCCAATCCTCCTAGAATAGATTAAGAGTATAGAATCTGAAAAAAAATTCTAAGGAAGGATGGTTGCTGGTCATTAATAGTCAATTATGCATTGTTGTACATCAAACTTTGATGCTCTCTCATTCTTAGTCCAAAATTTCCTCACTTTCCAAAAAAACCGAACTATGAAAAGGAAGATCTTGCAACAAGTACAAAAGCTGGCTTCACAAAAAAGAAAATTAAAAAAAAAAAAAACAAAACAAAACAAAATTAGAGGATAGCATATATAAAAAAGTAAATAATAATTCATCCATTGCCCTAACAAGGGAGAATTGTATGTAAATGAAAACAAGCTCGCTTTAGTTCATTGCTTAGAAGTCTCAAGCACTATGCACCAGAGTTCATGCAACATAGAATATTTTAATTTATCAAAATAAAATAAAATAAAAATTAATCAAAAAAAAAACATAGAATATATTTCAACTCACCACACTGTTAGCATCCCTCCCTCCACAAAGCAAAAGAAGACCATCAGAGCGTGCACTTGCAGTTGCATACCTACTCAAAGTGACAGGAGCAAATGAGATGCACTCAACTCAACTCATCAAAGTTTTTCCAGACTGTTTAACAATATGAGATATCAACTGAAAAATGTTTCTAATAAACTAAATATATATTAATGAGCAAGTTTTTGATAAATTTTATGATTGATGGAAATTAAATAAGCCCATTAAACAAAACTATGATAGCAACCTACATCAGCAATCTGAAAATGCAAAAAACAAAACTCAATGTTCTGTTTCTACAATTTCAGAATATCAAATTCAATTTAGTGCAACAAGTCATTTCAATTAGCCAGAAGAATAAAACTTAATGTTCTGTCTATAGAAGATCAGAATATCAAATTCAATTTAGTGAAACAAATCACTTCAATTATCCAGAAGAACCAAAACAGCTCACAAATAATTCTACACTGAATTGCAACAGTCCTGGAGATTGCATATGTTTTTACTAACATATAGACAACTCAAATGCAGAACAAGAATCTTGACTAGTTATGAACTTGGGATTTAAAACCACCGAAGATGATGAGTATTTTTTTTCTTTTCTTTTTTTTCTTTTTTAGAAGGTAAAGCAATTGACTCACACACTGCCTCCACTGAGGTTCAAACCCATGACCTCCCTTTCGGAAGTATGGTTCCGGTACCGCCAGGCCCATTGGTAAGATGATGTGTATGTTACTTAAATATAAACAAGGGTTTACACCATCTAAAAACAATTAATATTTATATGCATATAAAGATGTCGTAAAATGTCAAAGAAGTAACAGCAGCAATTGACAATTGGTTTATGCTCATCGAGCATCCCTTTTTATTTTGGTGCCAATGCAAAATAATATCGTAGTGTCTTTTTCCTTTTTATTCAGTTCATACAATAGCGATGTAGTACATGAATGGGCAGACATGAACAGTGCATGAACAGTGTTCGGGAATAATGTTTTCTAGTTCCAATTTTCTATTTTAGGAAAGTTTTCATTGTTTAATTTCCTAATAGTTTAGTGTATGTTTTAGGAAAGTCTTCATTGTTTTAATTTCCTTAATAGCTTTGTGTTTGTTTTGGGAAAGTTTCCATTGTTTTAATTTCCTATACAGTTGACGATTTGCTTAGGCCTATATATACATGGCTATTGTAATAGTTTAGGAATCAATTCTCTTTTATTAATATCAGAATGAGTTTTTCTCAATCTCTTCTCGTGGATGCGAGTGTTTAAAGAATACGTTGCTATTCTTAATTATTTTGCTTGCTTTCATTGATCCGCTGCGTCAAGCTGGTATCAAAGCCATTCTCCATGGACGGTGATCTGGGAGAACGTGCGGCGACTGTGGGAGAATGTCAACAATTGCGTCAGGAACTCAAACAGGAGATTCAGATGGCAGTTGATTGTCTAATTGAAGCCATGAATCGTGTGCAGGTTCGTAATAGGCATGATCAGAACCACAATGATGATGTGAATCAACCATGACAAAAGGCTGGAAATTAGCGTGGTCATCTTCAATGTGCTAATAATCAGCACCAATTTCAAAAGGATGTCTGGTCTAATTCGAGCAATGATCAGATTGAAGGTATTGAAGGTATTGTTGTAACACATGGAGATCACAAGGTCAAAGCAAATCATTGAGATTTCTGAATGAAAATTGACCTTCCGTCGTTTAATGGTCAACTTGATATTGAAGATGTCTTGAACTAGCTTGAAGAAGTTGAAGACTTTTTCGACTATTTTCATATACCTGAGAACAAGCAAGTTCCGCTTGTAGCCTTTAAATTTAAAGGATCGGTTCTAGCTTGATGGAAACAAACAAAACTGTAGGAGGCAAGGAAAACAACCTGTACAAATGGTCAAAGATGAAAAGGTTGTTGATTGCTAGATTTTCACCACCAAGTTATCAGCAGATGATTTATTACCAATATCAAAGTTGCAGGAACGAGAGACAGTTTGTCAAGGAGTATATGAAAGAGAATAGTGGCAACTTTGAAGAAACAACTAATGATTCTCAAACAATTGATTGTAAGCAAAATTACGTTGTTTCGCCTCTTGTAGATGAAAAGGATGATGAAGTTGCCCATGTTCTTGAAGTAGATTTAACTTCTAATAATATAATTTTAGAGACCCACTCTGAGGACATAAAAAATGGCTTGAGAGAAGTAGACTTGGAGAATTACGGTGAAAAGGATGATGACAATATTAAGAAGTCCAGTGAGGGGCTTGGGGATACTTACTGTCCAATTAATAATATGGACCCAGTTTTCAAGGGTACTGACTCAGAACAGCTTGAAAGTGGTGGTGTCTGTTTGATGGGGTTGGGAGATTTAATTGAAGTAGGAGAGTTTGAGCCGGATGTCCAGGAGCAATCAGACCCTACAATGAGAGTCCATGTGTTTTTCTGATATGAATCCTGATTTTGGTCAGTATGATTCCTTGAAAAAAAAAAAAGTCCAAATTGCACCCAAAAAAAAACTATTCACCGACAGCTACAATGGAATCAAGATCAAAGGCAACGAATTTCCTTTTGTTGAAGTCAACAACGTCCAGTATTTGAAGAATATAGGTGAAGATGAAGATGGATCGAAAGAGCATGCGGACTTGACAAAGCATGACATCTCAAATAAATACCTCATAAAGCAGGAGTACAGTGTTGTGTTTCAAGAGATTTTGCTGACAGGGATGCAGAATTTACACAAATCTGTACGCACTCTTTTAAAGCTGGTAAGTGGATTCTCTAATCATCCTACATATGGTACCTTCCACAATCCTCTTGTGTTTTCGGTTGAGAATTTCCAAGATTATAAATATGTGGTTACTCAAGTTTGCATAGAGGGAGAAGCATATATTGCTCAATTTGAAGTTGGTTTTGGTTCAGTGAATCATGGGATACCAAAAGATTCGTGTTGACTATTCAGCTAAAAGGAAAGGTTGGTTACTTCTAGAAACCTTACATTGGGCTTGGTATTATGGTATCATAAATGGAAGGAAAAGGAATCAGTTGTCCAAGGGCAGCCTAATTTTTTCAAGAAAATACAACCTCGGAAGATGAAACTGGAGGCTGTTGCAAATTTCATCTTTCTAATTTGCATTGCCAGTATGAACAGTGTTCGGGAATAGTGTTTTCTAGTTTCTATTTTCTGTTTTAGGAAAGTTTTCATTGTTTAATTTCCTAATAGTTTAGTGTTTGTTTTAGGAAAGTTTTCATTGTTTTAATTTCTTTAATAGCTTTGTGTTTGTTTTGGGAAAGTTTCCATTGTTTTAATTTCCCATATAGTTTAGGATTTGCTTAGGCCTATAAATACATGTTATTGTACTAGTTTAGGAATCAATTATCTCTTTTATTAATATCAGAAAACTGAGTGCTTTTCTCAATCTATTCTCGTGGATTCCAGTGTTTAAAGAATACGTTGCTATTCTTAATTATTTTGCTTGCTTTCGTTGATCCACTGCGCCAAATAGTACTTTCTCCTATTCACCAAAATTGCAATTTATCAGCGTCAACTTCTATCTATCATAAATCAACTCTGAGAAGAGTGTTATCAAACTGAGGATTGACAAATTTATAGACGGATACCAGTATAATAGGAAAGTAGGGTTGCAAGAACCACAGAGACCTATTGTCAGGAGCATCACTTGTTCTCTTTCGAGATGCTTATATAGAAAACACATAAAGGACAGAATATCACCGAGTGATCAATCAACTGCCGATGTGCTATTTACATCACACAAAATAGAGATGACAATCAACCCAGAAAAAGTGGATAATCCACTCCGATCTACCATTCTACCCTATGATGTAGCCTGGGTAGGCCGACCCAAGCCTAACCAGGTCTCTAGATGGGTTTGGGCAGTTGTATATTTCTTGTTAAGTTGGGCCTGGGCTAAAAAAATTCAACTGAACCTTGATTCATGTTGGGTTTGGACAGAGGTCAGGCAACCCAAGCCTAGCCCAAACCCAACCTATTACCATTACTAATATTTACAATATTATTAACATGAGACTAACCCAAGCCTAACCCAATAAACTAGAACTTACCAAACCAACCCGAGCTTAACATGAGTTCAAAAAAATAATAAAAAATAAATAAAAATACTCGCATGGATTGGGTTTGAGTTTGTTACCTTAGAGGTCAATTCAGGAGCTTGGGTTGGGGTCAGGTTGACCCCCCAATCCGCCCAAGCCACCGGAGTTGAACCCTTATTCTGCCCCTAAGGCCCAGTTTGGTTGGAGAGAAACGAAAGGAAAAGAAAAGAAAGGTAATGGAGGGAAATGGTATATTGTGTTTGGTATAAAATTTTGAAAGGAAACAGAGAAGTTTAGAGGGATACAAATTATGCCATCTTCCAAAAAATGGGAGGAAATGGAAGGATAGAGTTGCGAAATTCAATGAAACCTTTTGGGAGGATGTTTGACGTGGGGATCACTCTCTCGCTCTCACCTTCCCCCGTCTCTTCATGATTACCATGGATAGACAAGTCATGGTGGTGCTATCGCCTTGATAGTGGAAGAACGTCTTGGGATGTTCGTTTTAGGTGGCACCTTCAGAACTGGAAGATTGAGGACGCCTGTGGTTCGTTGGACTTGTTGTATCGTCAGGAGATCATGGGTGGAGTTTTTGATTCTTGGAGTTGGGTCCCTTCATCTCAGGGGCATTTCTCTGTTCGGACTTTCTTTAGCTGTCTGAATGAGATGCCAAGGGCTGTGTTTCCATGGAAGGCAACTTGGCGATCCAAAGCCCCTTTAAAGGTGGCTTTCTTTGCATGGACCGCTATCTTGGGAAAGATCTTGACTCAGGATAATTTGAAGAGAAGAAATCAAATTGTAGTCAACTGTTGCTGCATGTGCCTTAGAGGTGAGGAGACGGTTGATCACCTCCTTTTACATTGTCATGTGGCCAGGGATTGTTGGGACTTGATCAGATTATTTGGGTTCAATGGGCTATGCCCAGGTCTTCCAGGGGTTTTATCGAGGCTTGGAGAGGGTGTATAGCGGGGGCCCAAGTCTAGGACATTT